TTCTATTGTTATTGTGAAAAACGTTCGATTTCGTTATACGACAATGGGGTGGCTGTGATCCCCTGCCAATTAATATTCGATATGGTGGTCAGAATTGTGTCAAAGTTGAACACCTTCTTTGTTGACTTTGAGGTTGCTTATCAATCTAACATAGATTGTAAAAGAAATATCTTAAAAATATACACACATCCATTATATTGCAATAAATGTTTATTAGCCTAGAAAACTAAGAACATTTGCATGATGTCTTTGTTACGTCACAAAAAGCGGAAGTCGTGCCCAATGAAACTGCAAATTATTCTAACAGCGTTTTGCAAATTAACACTGGTTACAACCCGCAATAGGAACGGACAAAATCTAATTAATAATTAATGTTACCGACGAAAGTTCCCTTAACACACAAGTTGCTCGACGCTGTTGACCTTTTCTGTGAAAAAACAAAACTCAGAATATAACTGACATGTCGCGCTGTGTGTAGTAACGAGCTAATTTAAACTTTTCGGTCCTCCACTCCTTTTCGAGGGTGTCTCCCCTACGTCGTCACCTGAGGCGTCCGACGATCGCGGCTACACATTTTTCAATAAGTGAAATCTAAAGCTAGACAACCATAATTTTTAATTTACTTCGTTTCAATAAGAACATGATTCTGAAATTAGAGATAGAGAGATATTTAATAAATTTATTTCTTGCATTTTCATTGAAATTATCTGAGAAATAGTTTTCTATTTAATACACTTTCTAGGATCTAGCTTAATCTGCGATTTGGAGTGAGTAGTAGTAGTTCACGAAATAAAATACTATAGTTCAAAATGAAATGCTTAATATAAATTACTATAGACCATTCAAACAATAATTTACAATTCAATGCGAACGAAAAACTAAATCGGATCATTTAAAGAATAGAATAGATTTGGCTCAACATTGACATTCTGTATTTTGAACCAATGAAACGTTACCTTATCAACCCTTACCGATACCTCCAATAAATCAATGTACATTGAAAACAAATTGTGTGGGTGTAAAATTTGTTCCACGGCGCATGTGTAACTGACCACTGTCCGGTGTCCAGTGACGGGCGGTGGGAGTGGCTAATGTTGACCCACTGTGCACTACTCGGGTTTCCACGTAAACTACGAGTATTATCGGGGTTCGATTATGTTTGATATGTTTAGACAGGGTTATCGAATGACCTTTCTTGTATATAAGGTGGAAGATTAACACGTGCGAGGTATTCGGGGGGTGGATTAGTTACTGAAATACTTTTACTGTGACAACACTGAAATTGCGATAAAATAATCAGCTGTTTAATACTGTTAGCGATAATTTATATTACAACTTTGTATATAAAATACGGTTATAGAAATCTTTATTCTCAAAAGAATTACAAAAAAATCACTTACTGAGAATTACAACACATACACAATTTTAACACCAATAAAATATAAACTAGAAAGTATAAACTATATTTTTTCAAGTAAAGAAGGTAGTCTTAACTATTAGTGCAATACATAGATGTGCGAAGCTTTTAATCTGCCCTGCATCTAGATGTGGCATTTAAAATGTCTAAAACTGTTAATAAGACAAAACAATTTCTTAATATATATAACTCATGTACTGTCACATCCGTTCAACTATTTATGACCCGTTTAATTATTTTATTACCCGAATGTAAACATAAGGAGGGTTATGTTATAGTATTATTTTGATTATCATAATAAAATCCAATTATATTTTCGCAAATTCAGTGTCGCTCCTTAAGTAAAATTTCTCCTATAAACTTAACTTTATGCCTTGTCAAGTCTTGGCACATAATAATCCACCTTATATAAATAAAATTTGTTTTATTTTATTTTCAATGAACTGATTTTATTTATATGTCATAAATTCAGATTTAAATGTGTCGAATTTACAAGAATTGAATTGAATTTTAACCTGTGTGTGTTCACACACAATTACGTATTAACAAAAAAAAAAGGAAAAACATAAAACAAGAGTACATAATTCTACAATTTTATTGGTAGGTACATATTCACTTAATACATTTATATTTCATAAATTATCTATATAAACTAAAATAAGTGTTATATTTCTGATATTGGTAGAATCAGCACAAATCTGATGGAAAATCTATTAGTACGCGACGACTTATCCGTGTATTGAACAAGTTTGATTGTTATATCATATAATTGTCAGTTAAGTGAAATGTACGCTGACTATTATAATTTTTAAATTCTCCTAAACAGTGCAATAGATTTCTAAGTTTTCTCATACACAAACGGTGTAAACGGGACGCCATTATTGAGTCTTTTCTGTCCGTACATTCGTTCGTCTGTCGTCACGAGGCTGTATCTCATGAAGCGTGATATCTAGACAGATGATATTTTCGCAGATGATGTATTTCTATTACCGCTATAATAACATATAACTAAAACCTTAATAAAATAAATATGTACCTATTTAAGGGGGCCTCTCATAAAATAAACCATTTTTTAAAAAATAAATAATGGTAAGAAACCCTTCGACTCGAGTCCTACTCGCACTCGACCGTTTTATCACCATTGATAGATTTATCGAATAAGATTTATCACTTGCCTTTTATTTTGTTAAGGTTCTCCAATAGATGTTTTTTGAAATTCACCAATGGACGTTTCGATACTGGCATCTCTTCTATTGGAAACGGTTTAATCATTTTTTTTACATAGATTCCTCTACTTTGTTATACATCCAATAAACCAACGGAAGTCCCCACTTCCTCCAGGAAGCATTCAAAAAACATAACCATTTGCCACGAGCCACATTGTTTTATGAAAATATAAAAAAGTTATCAATATAGAGTCACTATTACTTACATTTACATAACAAACCCTCTATGCAAACGGTGGAAGTAAACAGAGATTTTTTTTCTTCATATTAATTTAGTGCTCATGTTACAACCAACCCCTGAGGTACAACCTACTTCTTCAATTCTCACAAAGGAATTTTAATAATAATAATAGGATCTTGAGGGTCTGCAATGACTTGAAATTAGCTCGCGCACTGCTTTGATGTACCGTACAATTATTGTACTTCTCAAATGTATGAGAGTACCTTTACAAATTCCCATGTGATGTTTGGTATATATTGTATTTAGAACACAAGTTTTACATTCGAAGTACCTAATGGTATAATTGGTTTTATAAAGGCGGTAACATTTTATAGATGGCGTTGCGATATACTATTATAATCGTAAGTGATAAAATGTAATGAATTTTAATTTTGCAATAAAAAATGGATAAATGGATCACTATTATGATATAAACAATGGAATAAAATGCAATATACATATTGGTGCAAAAATTTCATTTATTTAGAAAAGATTTCGTAGATCCAATATTTATAGTAGCTTATCGATATAATACGGAAAGTATTGCACCGAAAAGGTAATAAAAAAATCGTAATAAAACTTACAACTTCAGGTATCTTTAGGTAGGTAGTACGTAATAAAATATTGTCAAGAAATCGACAAAACGATACTGAAAATCGGATTAATTCCAGCAGGACGATTCTGTATCCGAACCCAAATTCGAATTCACTCATGTGTCCGAATAAACGTCATTTAGTGAAAACAATATGTTGAATCCATTTTTTTTTTGTAGAAAAATACAAAATAAAATTGACTTTTTAATACAAAATAAAATTGATTGATTATACGTGTCCCATTTATTCTATTCCTATGTCAGTTCAAAACTCACTTCACTTATGCCTCGAAACGTGATTACCAATTCAAGATTGAGCGCATGCCGCTTTTTGAATGCGGGTTTGGATTTTTACAGAATTTACCTTCTGGATTTAAGAAAAGTTAAAGTCATAATAAATACAGTGTTTTTTATAGAAGACGAAGGCAGTTACCAAAACTGATTGCAAATTTATAGCAGCGTAGTTAAAATTCAGCGATACAGCACGATTTTACTTGACTCTCTCTACTGAAATTAAGAAACTCTTTTATTGGACTTCACATTTTTTCTCGATGAATTTAATAGATATACAAAAGTTTTAAGATACAAGACAATTATATATCTGAATATATGAACAGAACTATAATAATATACAATTTTAAAGCATCTGTTGTCATTACCGACGAAGGTGAACCGATTGATTCCATTACAAAGTAACAAAATACACTTTCCATAAAGACACTAAATACTATAATTATCTTTGTAAAGTATGTCGTTACTCTTATTGTGAACTTTATTATAAAGACACGAGAGTTCAAGAGTAATTCCATCACAAAAGAGCACCGTTTATGCATAAGTGGTCAGTGCCACAACTGACACCTCATTTTAAGACCGTGAATACATACAAGCAATAATTAAATGCAATTCAATACTCAAAGGGTTGAAGAAAGTGACAATGTCCATATGTCGCCTCGTGACCGAATGTTGCCAAACATTTTTTTATTCATAATTGGTAACGAATGCCTCTCGTTCAATGATATTATGGAGCTCTTTCTTTATTGAGACAGGTTTCTCTTTGCCCCTATAATTATCCATTAAAATATGGCACACAATTTCGAACAGGATATAGGCAGTACCTCTCGTGGTAATTTAAATAAAATTCCAGAAATTCCTTTATAATTATCCTCTATTTAAATATTAATTACTGTCCCGATATTTCAGTTTCAATATTCTATAAAATACTTTTCATAAAAATTAAACTTTCAACAAGTACATATACATAATATTATTGAAGAACCTAGTAAAATAATTTGGATTGGGAGAAATATTTTGTAACGTCGATATTGATTTATACCTAAATTGTTACCAAAACATAAAGGATTTTGGTAACTGGTATTAAATAAAGTCATAGATGTAATTGTAAATTCGTTGTAGTATAGATTACTTCTAGTTTACTTTTCTCGTTAACGCCGGGCAAATTCACCGTATGCTCCGTAATCAGAGCTCTTCAATCACTAGTGATTGGTTTAATTTATAATATATTCAATCAATTCTGTTTTCCCGTAGCGGATGCGGACAGCGCGGCAGAAGGCGGTGGGTCTCCAACACCAGGAGTACCAGCTGATACCCTCACCTGTGGTGCTTGCAGACGAGCCTTCGCACTCGCCGACATCGTACGCTTCATCCAACACAAAGTCTCATCTTGCGATAAGGACCTAACGTCTTTTCATTGTTATAGTGCTGGTGAGTTGATACCAGGGAACTGTCTTGGCCTGAGAAAGTTCACTGGGATGATTTGAAAGAACAGGCTTGATCATTTGAAATAAGTTAATTTTGTAAAAGGCATTAGAAAACTTTTAATATTGTTTGTGAATTTATTTATTTATCACTACAGAGGTTTCTAATTTATATACCATAGCAAGCAAAATATCTCTCACTCTTAATAATTCCTTACTTCACCTTCTCTCATTAACTAACTTTATTTTATCTTATCAGGGCCAAACTCAGATCCAGAAGATGGTTCAAGACCAGGTCAGATGTCAACAAGTAACTCAAGTAGCAGAAGGCCATCTCTGCTTACTGCTAGGAGGCCGCCTAATAGTAGAGTGCATACTCCTCCCTTGGTTAGTCCATCGATTGCTCCTCCTGATCTCATAGAAGACGGTGGTGCATCTAGTACACCGAAGAGGCTATTAGATGGTAATTGCAGTTCACTATTTTTATAAAAAAAACCTTCAAAATTGCTCAATACTCTGAAATTCTTCTTTTTAATATTACGTACATTTGTATATGACATATGTGCAAACAATATGTATATGATTGGACCACATGGCATTCGATTGCAATTAACAAAAAACCAGGTTTCAATTACAAGAACACATATTTTTGTCATGATACAGACGCAGAAACCGAAACATCTACACCAAAACGGAGAGCATCGACATCACCAATGCCATCCAGTTCACCCGATGAAGATATTAAGCCCAAAATTAAACAGGAACATATGGACACTTCTGGATCACCCGAAGATCAGAAAAAGTCCAGAACAGAAATGGCTGATGCAGAATCTAACACAATGCATAGTGGTGAGTTTCACAGAATACGGTAAAATATATTTATAACCCGCGCACATATCATATTCATGAATCACATAATTCATTCTCAGGCTTCATCGTTAATACGAATCAATCATGTACGTCGTAAGTACTGAAACACTGTCATTATTACAAAATAAAACTGATATCTTAACTCTAAAAGTTACCAAGAACTTTTTTCTCGCATAACAGCTGATACGTAACTCGATAAAAACTCTTCTATTAATATTCTGTCTTTAATGCCATAACAAGGCTTGACTAACAAACACGTGCGACAAATTTTATTTTATTTATAAGTCAAACGTCACCGTCTTTCACAAGTTTGGCGTTAAATATTTTATTAATGATTCTCGCAATCGCTAAAGGAGTTTCTTAGACAGTTTTATCTTCACGTTCTAATGCCTTTGTAACGTGTCATGCAAGATGTTGCACAACAATACTGGACACTAGTGCCTACGTCATCGTGCGTCCATACATTCTGAGTTGGGGCTCAATACTGTCACATGCTTTGACGCATTGTCCAACAGGATGTTTCGCTTTTTCTAAGCCACAAGCGACATACAGTAGTAAAGATTGAAATAATGTCTAAAAATGTCAATCATGTTCCTGCTTTTAAAAAAGGCAAGATATGTCTTGAATATACAGTAAGCGTTGAAGAATTAAAAAACTAATCCTAACAGTATTAAATAAAAAAAAATGAAGATTCCGAACATCTGTATAAGCGACCAATCTTGCGGGGGTGGTTCGAAAAATAATCTATCCGTAACCCTTTTGTGTCGGCAGATGTGCCGTCATTTGACACTTTTGTATTAAACCGTTGCACAACAAAAGCTTTCTTAAACCCGAAAATTGTGCACCGTTCTGGATTTTCAACCCGCATTTTGTCAACGCTTTGTGTGAAAACAGAAATTTGATCGGACAATACAGCTCCACCACAACTTCTGTAACACTTTGAGGTCGGGTTGTTAATTTAAGGATCTCTTTAACAACATGGCCTTGAAAACAAAACATAAATATTTTAAACCAGTCTTATTTTATTGCGTTCAATGGAAACGGCTATCTGTGACAAAATTCGAAGGTGAAATACGGTACGTAACAGTTACAATAGTTATTGCGCTTTCATAATAGCCCGTGCTATCATAGAAATGTCAATTGCAGGTTTCCTTCGACACCAGTTGTTTCGGCTTATTGAGTTTATCCCGAACGTTCATATTAACCCCTTCGAGTGAGCTGTCAAACTGACTATATTCAATAAACCAAGGGGTTCCTTCACAATAACACGACACTAAATATATTAAAATGATAACCAGAAACAAAGAGCATATAACTCTATAAATCTATTTAAGCTTTAAAACCACATTCATATGAAAGTTTATTGTCAAAACAAGGCCATAATTCTAATGGTGACAGTAAGTCGCGACCTCGTGCCAACATAAAAAAGGGATCTTAGTTTTAATTGTATTATTTTGTACATATTAATTAACCCCATCGTTGTATAGTGACAAAGGGCATGTTTTGAAGAAAAAAGTATTTGCATGAGAGCACGATTGACGTGCGAGTATTGTTATCTTCTGCCTTTTGTAATGACCCTCACGTTAACCGTGCCCATTATGCATCTAAAAAGGCCAATGTTAATGAGAAAACTTCGTACGAATATCTGCTTTTACGGTAAATACATTAAGTTGAATGTGAAAGAACAGCTTTGGCGCTAATGTTTTTCAGCGCTCAAACTGGCTATGATATTATAATTGTCAAAGATGCTACCGAAGTTCCATTGTTAAGAGCGGCCTTTTATAATTTTTTCAAAGATAAAAAATGTTTGGCGTGCTCATGACACGTGGTACACGCTCATGGGTTCGCCGTGACCTATGGAACTTCTTTGAGCGTGACACAATGGTCGTGGATATATTTAGTTTTTGTACCGAACGGAAAGGTGGCTAAGTGCCGGGGTTTAATAAGTGGGTTTTAATTTTAGAAGTGACGTCGTGATTTTGTATGTGAAAGGTAAGGGGGAAGATTGTCTCGTGCCTATCGCGTGTCTTCTAACGATGGGTCTAATAGTTATATTTAGAAAGCTATGTTGCGTTAACTGCCGATGATGTAGACGCCAAATAGAGAACATCGAATGCGTATTTTCATATTTGAATTATATTTCGAACAAAGAACCAGTCCACCAACGATACACGGAGCGTACGGTGTCGCTGTCGTTACATTCATTACCATCACAATGCGTCGGAGAACCTATGGTCGTCACTTATTTGTATCAAAATAAATATTGAATCAAGTGTTACGTCGGGTCCAGTGTTTGGGCTCTTTTGTTTGACTTACGAATTAATGAGGGATTGTCAGACTACATTTTTGTAATTTTGAAATTCGAAATTAAATACTTTTGTCATTGAAATTAGCTAGGTCACCATAGAATTGTAGGACTTTTTAAAAATTATCTAACCGGCCAGTCGAGTCGTTTTGTCCCTCTCAACCCCCTAGCCATTGATAAAATTATCCTCTTCAACTCGAATCTGTATGGTCTGCTTCATCATAAAGCGTTCAGTTAGATCCGCGTAAAACGATACGCATTCTGCTTGTTCACTCATGCAAAATAAACATCAACATAAAAGAGTTTCGGATGCCTCAGCGACCGAATCTGTTCTTTTGGGTTAATTACCATTTATAAGCCGTTTTCTTGATAAATGATCGCCCCCGCAAATGATTCCTCGATTAAGTCCCGTTCAAGATATTTCCATATCAGAACATGTTTTCTTAAGGGTCGCCACAAAAGGGCCATCTCGGCACCCAATCTTTAATCCTATCTCGGGACCTTTGCGGGCGAATTTAAATTTCTTTAGAAATATCGTCTTTATTATATACGTGCGGGTTTCTATTCCTCGTGACGTCCGTGGGTGAGATAACGTAAGTTAAGTCCGAGAGAAGATTGTTGTGAAAAAACTACCGCTAAGTTTGACGAGATTCCATCTCGGGAGCGGCCGTCGTTGGAATATGAATTCTAATATGGTGTGGTCAAAATATAATATCGCGTGCGACCTCTTGGATTAGTGCAACCTTATTTTGTATATGAGGTGATAAGTCTTTATGAGGGGTCAACCTTTTCTATAGTGAACCTCACCCTTTTAGTGAAAAGAGTACGTTGATAGCTGATTTAGGAATGGTGATAATGCATTCAGTGCGTGTAAATATATCAAAGATTTATTCTGATAGATGAGTTCGTGAAGGTCTTATGTTGGAGTAGCTGTGTCTTTCAACAATGGACTTGAAGAATTTTCATCTAATTTTATTTCACGTCCCCATTCGGTATTTGACTACTGGGCTTCTATACTAAATGAGAATAACTGTCATTGTTGCTTTGATGATTTAGGACATAGGGCTTGCCGTTATGCCCTCAGTTGAGAATTTGCTAATTAAAACATGTTTTATTCGATCAAAGGATCGGAATGTTTGAATATGATATTCATAGCCTTCTAATTATAAGAGATACATAATTCCGAAACGAAAACTATTATTCTTATTTATTACCTTGGAGAATTAGGTCATGTGTAAATTGTATATATATATTACCATCTGAAATGTTTACACTAAAACATAGCAAACAATATAATGTTGTGTGATTGACGTTAGTTACCGATTGGTCAATGGCTTTACTCTTAAACATTTTGAAAATAAGTGAATATATTTATTTGTGCGTATCTATTCGCTATTTATTAGTATTCTGTTATAACGCCGACTTTGTACAGTCAATATTTGTAGTGTAATTTAATTGTAATTCAAAAATGTTGTAGGTAGTTCAAGATTTGTTATTACCTTGGATAAGTTTTTGAACTGGTCAAGTTCGGTCAGAATTATTCAGGGTTTTTAATTATTTTTCTAACTTGTCATAGTCATATAAGTTTCCTTTTGTAATTTCCATGTGCGACGATTTCTAAGAGTGACTTTTTACGAAAGCAATATTTGGAAATATGTGCTGTTCTTTTTTAGAGCTACTTTTAATCCAGAGACCGTACAGTAAAATTGCACACAGTAAGACTGATAAAAGTTACTTTATTCCTTGTCTTATCATCGTCATATAGTTAAGCTGTTTTGGTTCGCTACTTGGGTTATATCAATCTAGTCAATTATTTGAACTTGGTATTTTTTTTAATGATTTGAAGAATCACGCTGAATTCTTCTCATTGGTATCAGCTGTATGCTGCCATTATTTTTACCATAATGCATGATAATATTCATGGTCAACGGTGGTAGAATCAAGGTGTTCACTATAACCAAGTTACAGATTTCATTGCAGGTATACCATAAGTATGGTTTTTTTTAATTCAGTCGCGTTTCAATACTAAACATTTTTATCTAAATATTGTTTTGATTTTTCTATAGCTCTAAAACCATACTAACGATTTGCCAGAATATGTATGCAGCATAGAACACAGAATCAATTTTAAAGCGTCCGTTCCCGCTCGTCACCCTTCGCGTTTATTGTTTTTCTCCACATTTTTTGTAATAAGCTGTAATGGCGGTCACACATGTGCCGTGAACGGTTATTACGAGTTTAAAATAGCCACACATATTCGGGTAGACAGCAATTTTCTAGCTGTTACTGAATGTCTCTTATTAAGTTGCATAAATTTCTGCATTCCTGATTGTGTTGACAAATGCTATCACACGTGTTACCTCTGTAGTTGTAATGTAAATATTTTTGGCTGGTTACGATATTCTGGTCCATAGGGAATATCTATACCCCAGCAGTAGGGAAATTAATAAGCTAATAACTAGGAACACTAATAGTTGACAGGAGTCTAAGCTTTTTCTGATTGAAACTATTATCTAGCTTCTTCTTCACAAATTTTTTCACTGCATTACACATGCTGTTGCAGTTGGAAACACGCACAGATACAGAATACGCAAGACATCTCTATGTTTTGCGTGTTCTGTATCTGTCTCTACACTGTGTACATATGTATAAGCATATATATATTTTTATTTTC